TAGTAAAAAGGGCATTGCTACTAGTGACAAGGGCACTACTACTAGTAGCTAGCAAGGGCATCGCTATTAGCAAGAAGCGGTAAAAAAGAAGTGTCCCGCTGGACAGAATGTTTCAGGTTTCCCGGCGCTGGCTGCCAGCAGAACGTCTCACAACTGCTCCTGAGTGGTGGGGCAAGAAAACACGACGTCTTCTTGTCCTTCCAGATGTTCCGAACTTCTTTTGGCGACGCTTCAAGGTGAAATTCAAGAAACGCCATGGCGTGCGGTCCTCAGGTGTGAGCACTGATCTGCATTCTCAGTGTGGTGAAGAAGGCACCTGCCAATAGATCTACCTTCAGCCAAGCAAGCTAAGGTGAAAAAAAGGCAACGAGTGCACTACTTGGGCAACGTCAAGCCGAGGATATGGCGGGCGCACAAAGTGCTACAACCACCACCACTGCTTGTGCATCAGACCGATGGCGCGATAGCAGACCATCAGCTGCAAGCCCGACCCTACTTTTACAGAGGTGTTTCCCATTGGCTTTTTCCCAGTCGAAGAGGTGGCATCCATGTCATGAAGCGAAGCGCGAGCGGGCAATGGGTGTCATGTCTGAAAGCTGTGTGCAATACTTTTCATTATATTTCAACTCTAAGCGTAGCACCATCTCAAGGATGCGTTCCCACCCTTGGGTTTTGGACACCTAGAATGTATGAATACACAATGATGCACAATTGACAATGCACACGTTGCTAATTCACAATCTTTGCTACCACGACTTTCCAGCAGGTTGATGTTTTACATTAACAAGTTTGGGCACCTCTCACCTGTTGTGCTGGTAGGTTTCAGTGTTTTGTAATTTAGAAAAGTCCGAACACAATCAGAGACATGCCATGGTCCATCAAGAGACATGCCAACCGACTTGGAGTTTGGGTGGTCACCGTCCACACCAAAAAGAAAACTACTTAGGTTGGAGTGCTCCGGCACATGAGAAGCTCGCTGATTCCGGCAATACGGCCAAAGTTGTGAGCAGGCAGAAAAATTGGAGACCGGCACCGCTCAAATCGGGCTCACGGTGGTTCACGTCTCAAAGTGTAAAGGGTGTTGACGGAAAAACGTGGTCAATAGCTGAGGGCCATGAGGGCACACATGGGCATTCCGTCACCTTCATCATCACCACCTACGCTCGGGCTATGCGGCATCCTTTCTCTTGCACCTGGCTTCTTGTGATCGCAGACCCTTGCACTTCGAAAAGTGAAAAGGCAAAAATGCTGGCAGAAAGAACATTGAAAAAACGGCATAAATTAATTAAAGGAAAGAACATTAAAGACAAACAAAGGATGAATGCTTGGCATAAATTAATTAGCTGTCGTAAACGTTTTCCAAAACAAAGGATGAATGCTTGGCTCTTCAGAACACGGACTCGTTACAATGCGCGGCCTCTTGGCGCTTGGTCTCCAGAGCCCTTTATGGAGGTGGGAGGTTGTGACATGAATCTGAAAAACACCGTTGTCCATTTGACAAATTGTACAGGCTCCGTCACTGATCCAAACATGGTTGCAGACGCTAGGTCATTTCATATCGGGCACTATGTTTCGAAAGCACTACAGCGATCTTTTGGACATGCTGAAGATGTTGAGGAGCTCCATTCCTTTGCGAGCTGAGCGACTAGTCGGAGAGAACGGGTCACCGTCGGGCCGAGACAATTCGAGACACGATCCCGCCCAAGGTTCGTCCAGGCGTATTTTGCAGCGTACTTGATCAGCTACGTGCGCCCGCAGCGCTCGTGGTCCACCGAACTCGTTCCGCTGAGTATCCCAGCCTCAGTGCAAGCCAGCTATTCAGAGGCCTGCGACGGTGTGGAGGTGAAACGAAAAGGAAGACAGAACCGAACCTGACATACCTCGGCAGGTCTTGGACGAGTGTCGTGGGCGAGGAGCGCAAAACTTTGTGAAGGTCCTGGCTCGGATGCGTTGTTTGTCACCTGGCCACTGGAAAGCAGGTGAACGTGTTCGGGATTCCCTGAATCTGTTGTTTGATGAAAGTAATTATGGTGTAGTACCATCTGGTACCTATAGTGTGAACCATGGATTCTTCAACCCCACCACGTGGAAGGTCCACAAGGTCAAGAAGGTCTGATGTACCATTCATGGGGTCAACTCCCCATGAATAATCTGCTAGAGAGGGAGTAGGAGCAGGAGTGCAGCAGCAGGAGCAGCAGCAGCAGCAGTAGGAGTAGCAGTAGTAGTAGTAGTAGTAGTAGTAGCAGTAGCAGTAGCAGGAGCAGGAGGAGGAGTAGGAGCAGGAGGAGGAGTAGGAGTAGTAGGAGTAGTAGGAGTAGTAGTAGGAGGAGGAGGAGGGTTCTAGCTCCCAACATAACTATTCAGGTGGAAACAAGCCACCAAAAATACGTTTAATTTGCTGCGGGCTTGTCCTGGAGATGTTTGTAAATTAGAGAGAGGGAGAGTTGTTAAAACTCTTTTTGGGCCCCTAGTAGCGTCCTTGCTCCTAGACAGACGAGATTGACTAAACCAAACAGCTCCACCTTGCACCACGAAGTTGAGCTTACATACGACAGAGCACCGCTTGACATCAAGGTTGAGCACTTCCTTGCAGCAAGACGCACTCCCTCTTAGCCAAGCTGTTTGGACTACAGTGCAAAAGCTGAGGGCGGAAGGCAACGGTTTTGTACTAAAGCGAGGCTATGCTCAGGCCTTTAGGCATGGTTGTATATTTGCGCAGGTCGCCGGCCCTTGGTTTTTGCTTCCACGGAGCGAGAGGCAGAAGCTTTGGTGCGGCACATCGCTTGCGCCAGACGCTTCAGACGGAGTCATCCCAAGCACTGCAAAGGCTGCGATCTTTGCAGGAACTTCAATAAGCATCTTAGCTCAACACTCCAAATTAGAAGGAGCAAGTAGCTACTAGTAACAAGAAGCTATTAGGGGCTCCTGGCCTGACTACTAGGAACAAGGACGCTACTAGGGGCTCCTGGCCTGACTACTAGGAACAAGAAGCTATTTTTAATTAGAAAGAATAAATAAATAGAGTTAAAAGTAATTAGAATTGAATTAGAATTAGGCAGAGAGAAGGCCAGAAGTGGAAGGACAATCTGAAATGTCGCCCAGGTTTGTCAAGCCAGGAGACATAGCGTCAGCGTCAGCCCTCACAGCACAGAAATCGTTCGGTAGCTCGGGGTTTGGGAATCGAGTTTGCAGGAACAAGCATGGCCCCCATCGAAGGCAGGAGACGGAGATCGTTCTTTTCGCCCCCCTTTGCATGACCCACCTATCGCCATCGCCTGGATCGCAGTCCGTCAGGCTCAGAATCTCAGGAAGAGCTGCTGATTTTCACCGTGGGCGCTGACTCAGCTGGATTGAATCTGCAATCCCTGGGAGATGCATTGGTTCTGCGTCGCTTGACGAATCGACTTGAGTCAGATTTCTTGTGTTTTTGTGCCATTTGCTGCCTTTGGACACCTTAGGTCCGGTTCAGATGGATCAGCTCGTCCAGATGATGGGCCGGTTGGATCGGCCAGGGCAAACATCCCAAACACTTTGCCGAGCGATTCTGTACATGACCCTGGTCGAAAGAGATGGGATGTAAAACGAAACATGAACGCTACGTTCGGGGCTCCTGGCATCGCTACGAACGCAAGAACGCGGAATGTGTTGTTTTTTGTACGTTGCGGTGCTTCGCACCCAGGAAGCGGACACATGAAGAGGCAGAGCCGTGGCCGTTTTGAAGACATACGAACAGCGACGACAAACATCCACATGCGAATAGTATCGAATGCTGAGTGCTGAATTATATAGAAACAAAACAACATTCCATGGCAAACCAGGCACACTCAACAAAAGAATGCAAGAAAGGTCTAAAGGTCTTCTTAGAAAAAGAAAAGTAAAAGAGGACAGGAAAGTAGGACTTAAAGGCTCTTTGTCGGGAATCTTGTTTGACCTGAGGAAGTGGCTCACCTGCAGAAGCACGCAGCATTTTGGAGTCTTCATGTCAAGCCGGTTGCGCGGCTCATAGTCATGGCAACTGACTCAGAGGTGCGGAAGGTGCGTTTTTTTCACTTCCCAGGGAAGAACGAAAGAATAGAGGAAGAGAGACTGAGAGATACTGAGAGTTAGTATGGGTAGTTAGTACTCTTGGTCAGGATGTGGGTGGGAAGTACAACGAATTGCTCGAAAAGACTACGACCTCAGTACCGGCGGCTCCAGATGAACAAAGACACCGTCATGCAATAGCAACTCATCTCAAGAAGGGAAGTCCTTTGCGGTAGCACGGATGGCATGCAGTGATGGTTTCATAGGATTGCGCAGGCATAGCACGCGTAAAAATTGTAAGACGGGTTGGCAACTACTTTTGCTACTATATATAACTCGTTTGTACTATAGAAAAATGGCCATCAGTGGTTCACTCACAGTCCAGTGAAGCTTGGGGCTCTCTTTCTGATTCATTTTGTTCGACGTGGCACCGCAGAGGTCTCAGTGATTAGATCTAGGTCTGCCAACAGGCACAGCGCAGCGGAACACCCCAGCCCTGAGGCCAATTCGAAGGAAGATGTGTGGCCAAAGACCTATCATTTCCGAAAGCGTTCTTGGGGAGTTTCCAAGATTTTGAAGTTGACACTTGGCACCTGGCAGATCCTGGCACCACACCGAGGCAAAAGATTGTTTTGCATAATGCTTTTTCTTTGAAGCGTGCCCCATATTGAGCTGCCTAAAGTCAAGCCACACCTATAGGGGTAGGACAATATTCAAGCATTTGCATTTGTTAGAACAGTCCTCTCAGGGCGTTCAGCTGTGGGGCTTGAGGACCTCAAAGCGGCAAAGAGTTGAAGCTGCGAAGGTCTTTCAGCAGATTCAGAGTGGCTTCGAAGCAAATATGGGATTCAGCATACTATGCTTTTCCATACTCAGATTCTTCAGTATGCCTGAGTTTTGCCATGTTTCGCTGTTGAAGTTTTGGTGCATCTATTCTTGGAGAGGACCTGATTGAAGGTTCTTCATAGAAGACATCGGAGAAAAATATATCTTCCCACATCTCCGCATCCTCATGAAGATGGGCATAATACATGGGCTCATGTGTTTCCATGTGTGTCTTTTGATGTCTTATCGCTCTATCATATCTCTTCGCTCTCGGGCCGCCCGTTTAAGATGAAGTGAGGAGGGAGGTCATGTTTCTTTCATTGCTATTAGGTTTGTTGTTTTATTTGCGGCATGGGTGGGTCAGACAAGCCGCATTGGGCGCTGACCTACAAGCGTGATGGTAGTATCCCGCACAGAAGGTGCTCACGTGTAGTGCTGTTCATCGATCCGGTCCAGTTACATGTTTGGCACGGGAGGCCTACTTGGGTTATCCTGAGTTCTCTTCGGGCGTGCAGGGAGGCCTGTCCTTGAAGCCTCCAAAGATGCCAGACAACCAGTTCCCACAGCTGACTCCTTACAAGCGTCTTGATGCAGAGCGGCTCCTGGTCAGCGGGACAGGCGATTGGCCCCTTAGTGAGGAGAAGATGATTCGTCCTCATGGCCATCCTTTGCACAGGGAGACCCCAACGAGCACAAGAAGTTGGCGATGAAGTGGGAAGGCCTTGGTTTGCTACGGCTCTTTGACCGCCCCCTCCTCGAGGGTCACTACTGCAAGGTTTTCAGCGCCTTCAAGAACCGAGGGTGTGACCGGCAAATTGGCGGCCGGAGAATCCCCAGTAGAGAGATTATTGTTAACTAGACCTTCTGCTTTCCTACCATCTGGCCAGCTTCTATCATCAGGCGGCTGTTAGCTTGGCTCGAGCTCAGTCCAACATCACCCCGTCCCCCTCCCCGGTTGAGGAGTTCTATCGCACGAAGGCACTGGGCATCTGGAAAGAGGAATTGCAAAGGGCAAGCGGGGCAGAGAAACCCCTGGCGATGACCTACGAGCAACTGCCAAACAGACAAGGTTGAGCCTGAGGTAGTTGGAGCACGCCTTTCCCTGCAAGGGAGCACTATATCAGGAGACCGCCTTGGCGTTGAGTGAAGTCCGTTTTTAGCGAGAAGGCCTGTTAAGAGAGGAATGCCGCCTGAGGAACAAGCATCCTCTTCCTTTTTGGGCATGTGTGGGAAGCTCTCATCTCTCATTTACTTCTGCGTTCATTTCATCCCTGTTCCCTACCAAAACAGAAGACATGCCCTTGAGCGAGAAAGACATTCAGAGATCTTCAAAGCAGCAGGAACGGAAGTTGACTCTACCCCAACAGCTGTTGCCCTAGGAGTTGTTCCTGCAGCCGCCCCTCTTGGTAAGAGACTTGGCTTGTCCTGCTTGGAGCGGCTTGCTTACCTGCATTGTCCTCAAGCCTGGCGGCGAGGTTGTTGGGGAGTTGGGTGTCTGCGCTTCTCTTCAGGAGGTGCTTTCCCAGCTTGGTTGATGACCTCTGCAGCGCTGGGGCTGGACTCATGCCGGAAGATGACGGAAAGCTTCACCCTCTTAGTCTGGCTACAGCAAGTGAGCTGGTTGAGTTGGCTGTCATGGCACCTCTGATGTTCAGCGACCTGACCGCTGGATCTTGTGCCAAGCAAGGTTTTTGCTACCAATGCCTCGATGGGAAAGGGCGCGGTGCCATTTTTAGCTCTGGACTTCATGACGAGAAGGTTGGGCTTCTTTGGCGTGGCTTCGACAAGCGGACTGGCTACACCAGACCGGCCTTCCAAGCCTTTCTTGCTCTTCCTCAACTTTGTGGTGCTCTTTGCAGCTGGCCGTGTTTCAGATCCCCGCTTGCTATGATCTGCGAGAGTTTAGACTGCTGGAGTGGGTATGACACATGTTGGAGAGCAACTGATTCAGGTCCATTTTCTTGTCCGCCTTGTGCCACTTTTTCGCCTGTTGCTCATCCCGCTGTCAGATCCTACGCTGAACCGAAAGGATGGGATCGTTTGAGCCCAAAAAGTTCTTCTTGGAAACACTATGGCTTTCAGCAAACTCGCCGACACCATCGACCTGGTGCTCTTGAAGGTCAAAAATGGCCTGGCTTCACCATGGAGGCCTTCAAGGAGGCAGTCGTGGCATCTTGTGCTTTTGGAAGTATTCACCAGAAGGAGTTTGAGTTCCGATTGTTGGTCATCTACCTGGGCGCAGTTTCTTTGAGGGCCCATTGCTCACGAGTCGTTCGCGTGTGCGGTGTATGTACAGGGTGTTGCCAGACATCCACTTTGCCCTTGATATTTCAAGCTTGAGGAGGAAGGTGGATTTGAAGGGCTCGACTGCGTGTTTGTGAACGACCTCTTGGCCGCGCTTGAAGTCCGGTCGGCTGCGTCTCCTCAGAGTTTGCTGCACGCCGCCCTGATTCACGCGTGGTGGCGCTGATCGACTCCAATGTGGCCAAGTTCGCGGCTGCGGTGGAGAGGTCTTGTTTCCACTTGGCCTGTCACATACTTGCAAGGCTTGGTATGTTCTTTACACCACGAAAGGGGACGGAAGTGCCGGGGAAAGGTTGCCAGGCCTTCAAAAAGAGGGCTGGCATTGAAGCCTTTTGCAAACTTGGGAAGGAAGCATCATATAGCTTTAGCTTTACATAGCCTACTAATTCCGGTGAGACTTGCTTTTTTGCCTGTCGGCTTACCATGTGAGCACCTTGGAGCATCTGTTTTTTCAAGAGTTTTTTGTGTGCACCAGACAGGGTTGCGCCAAATGGTGTCCGAACAATGTGCGAACAAACAAGTTTACTTACACCACGTTCACCGCTACTACCACTTGGAAAGGCGTTGCGCCCCCTAAACCTCTAGCACTCTAGGCTTTGTACACTTCAAAAGTACACTACGCAAGGAAGCGTTGGCCTCAACTATGTGTTTGCCTGCTTCCTGCGTAACGCTGGCAAGACTTAAGCATGTACGACGTTGGAACAAATTAGAATGCCCTAACACCACGTTAGAATGATCTAGAATGTCCTAACACCGCGTTAGCACAAACTAGTATGTCCTAGCACCATGTTGGAACAAACTAGTATGTACTAATATCATGTTAGTACAAACAATGATGTCAATGTACTAACACGATGTTAGTACAATCTAGCATGTACTAACAACATGTTAGTACAAACTAGTATGTGCGAACACCATGTTAGTACAAACTAATATGTACTAGCAAAATGTTGAGCGCACTAACGTTTGTTAGCACGTACTAACACGTGTTAGTACATTGTTAGTACATTTCAGGGACATTGTTAGTACGTTCTAGCGCGTTATTAGCACATACTATTATGTACTAACATGGTGTTAGTACATAGTAGTATGTTCTAACATGTTGTCAGTAAAAACTCAAAACTAGTTTGTTCTAGGGTGGTGTTAGGACATTCTAGACTGTTCTAACGGTGTGTTACTACAAAGGGCACTATATATATATATCGACTATAGACTATAGGTCTCAATCTTCTGCACGACGCTCTTTCTATAGTGCCTACAGAAACTTCCACCCGAGATATATCTGGCGTTTCCTGGGACGTACATCTTTCGATGAACTTGTCGTGTGAGCAAAAGTGTCCTTAGAATCTTTGCGTTTTTGGGAGCATGCCCCAAAACAAGGTCTCCACTAAGCTAGGATTTATTCCGTACTTGGACCAAGTCGCGTTGGAAGTAGTAACTTTAGCTACGGGGAGCCTTTTCGTTTGGGAACGAAAATGCATATTCTGCATCATGACATGTGTCTGGGAGAGGAGTGGGCAGGAATAACACATTGAGAAACACATAGTTTTTTTAACATATATATATGTATATATCTGACAGTCCCGCTTTTGTCTCATTTGCAGCACCAGGTCCATGAAAAGGAAACACTGGATTCCTTTCATATATAGATGTTTCATGACTGCATCATTTGCATCAGGCAATTGCAATGGCATAGCTCATTGTAGAAAATCCCTGTGTGTTCAATGCATTTTCTATCTTGCTGTTGTTTTCAGGCAAGACTTTTTTAGGGTGCCAATTTATATCCATATGGAAGTCTTGTTGAATACATGGTGTGGACCCTTTGGAAAAGCTCAATTTCGATTTTGTCAAGAAAATAGAATGATTGTGCATTAGAGTTGTGCCCCCTGAAAAATGTATGAAATTTATTTTTCGACCCCTGGAAATTGTACAGTTTCAGATTGTCCACATTGTATCAACTGTTGCGTTTTCAAGTCAACATCACCTCCGTATGGACATTCTTTGAAAACAGTGGTGAAAAAATTCTACTTTGTACATAATCAATCCTTTTTGTGACCCCCTTGGAAATGTACAATTTCAACGGCATCAAAAAATAGATCCAACAACGCTTGCAAAATGCAAGCCAAACATAACTAAACAATGCATCAAAGGATCCAAAAATAGAGTGGCAATTGATACTTCCTTGCTCTATCTCTGAGAGCCACTGGTGCGGGCGGTTGTCGTCGCGCAGCGACCTCAATACCATTCGGTTCCGATGCCTCCAGCCGCCCAAGCGTTTCAAAGAGTCCAAAGTTGCAATCACTACCCCCTTTGCGTGCCCGACCCCCCGCGCGGGCGGTCAAATTTCAAACTTATAATTGTCAATGTTCGGAAAATATCATTACAGTATATAGCCCTACAAGGGGGGTTTGGAAATTGTTAGATCTAGGGTTTTCGACCCCTCCTTCAAAGAAGTTCTTGCCTCTGACATTAGAAATTGAAAATGGGTGTGAATTGTAAGAACTGATGGGCAGGTACCTCACAATAACAAGTTAGAACCCCTGTCGGATTTGCTTTCAAGTTGCTTTGCTTTCGTGACTTCGGATCAGGCTCTGTTTGTTTGAGCGACATGTCCTTGGTAAGTCTCTTAAGCTCTTCCCTCTTCCAAGAAATGTTGAAGCCAGCACAAACCAGGACAAACACTGCACAGTGCGTGCTATAGTGCACCCAGAAAGCCATACTGCAAGTAGACCCCCTGAGAAGCAGGGGCATTTTTTGTTGTGCTTTCTAGAACGACTCCACCGCGACCCCTGCAGGCGTCAGGCATCCTTCAAGGACACGGCCCGCCAAAAACAGCAACAATGCAAACAAACAAACAAACAGAACCAAACCCGCAGATTGGAAATTGCGGTCGGGGTCCATGCATCCACTTTGACGCTCAAACATGCAACTTACATTTCTTGAACGTGCACAAACTCAACAAACACACCCAGGCATAAAAATGTAACACTTTTGACCCCTGTTTTGTCAGATGGAGGTATTGTATGCCTCTAAGATCAAAAATCATCGTTGTCCAAAACCTGCATTTGGAGAATCCCAAAATTGTAAGTTACAATTTTGAGACCCCCGGGGAGTAATGATCAATCTACGCAATATGTGTCCAGCATGGTGGTTTCGCAAGGTAGGATTTTGAGACGTCCAATCCTTCGCGAAGATGCACATTCCATCGCGCCTCAGGATTTTTCCTGGGTGCGTTGGCACTTTTTGGCACATCAGGTTTCAAGAACAGACATTTGAAAGACGCCCTTGTTTATTTAGTTTGCCGTGTGCTTACATAGGCATCCCGTGTTTGAAGAAAGGCCCACATGGGTACCCTACTGCATGATTTGTGCATGCTGTAGGCCTTAGTTATGTGGAGGGTTCTTAGGCATAGGCCCCTTGTGCCAAAAAAAAAAAGTTCGATTCCATGTTTTTGGGCAAGCTGGGGCCGTTTCCTCCACGAATTCGCACCTCATCTCAGTCGAGTCGCGGAAAAGTTGACGTAACGAAGCGTCACGTCCAGACTGCCAATTTGGCCCGTCAAGGTGCCACGACTTCCATTGACTTGGGGACGTCACCTTGGCCGGAGCTTCCTATTACAATGACCTGGCAGAGTGTTCAGCTTGGAGACGCTTTGGCAGAATCAGAACACGTTTGTTTCTGTCATTTGTGCACCTTATATCGAAATCGGGCAACCACGAAACTGCGACATCTGACACGCCATGCATCCATCTCAGCATATTTGTGCGCGATGCAGGTCGGATACCTCGTTCAGAATGATGATCGGTTCAGGCACCGGAAGCGGACAAAATATTGCTGGTCAAACGATCTGATACGGTGTCACCTGTGTTGAGGCACGTGGTGCAGTTGATTGGTCCGCCCACCGCCATTTTAGAGCTCCTGGGCAAGGGAAGGCAGGAAGGATCAAGAATCCACGAGTCTATGAGTATTGTAATGGATTATTGAGCGAGCAATTGCCAGTGCCATTTCGAAAGGATTGATATTTTCGACGGTGTGGCAATTAGAAGGGTGATTTGGGTTGGAGGCCATTGCTATTAGGGTGAGAGGAGAGAGAGGGAGAGCGGGAAGTTTTGAGAAGGCCTGATCCCTTCACCACCTTGGTCCAGACTGCGCCTTGGCTGTGGAAGAAGGCGGCAGAGAAGCGTCGTGTTCAAAGAAGAGTTCTTGTTAGTCAGGAGTCGTTACAGTAAGTCATAGTAAGTCCATTGGCTCAGGCCGAGGAGGGTGGCAAACGGGCAGAAAACATAAGAGAAGCAGATATATAATATACATACGATTTATCAATGATTTATAGAGAAGAGAAGACGGAGAAGCAATGAGAAGCATAATGAATGTAAGAATGCTGAGGTATGCCATCAGCAGCTCAGCGTGAAGGTTTGCCAGGGCATGTTTCAACGCTTGCTGAGTCTTTGTGGTAACAGGGTGCCTTGGAAGTTTCGCCGAAAACCAACCAGAGCCGAGTGAACAAAAAAAAGAGAAACGAAGAGAGATGAGACATGAGCATGAGAAGAAAGGAGATAGAGAAGCGAAAAATATGAAAAAGGACATATATATATATATACAGTGTAAATATATATATATATATATGAAACCAATCGAAGCAAAGTCCGAAGTCCAAGGACTCCAAGATACTGCACCCTGAGCAAGTGCTGCAGGAGTCACCAGACAAGTGACTTGTTCGCAGTCAATACGTTCCGGCCAGATGTGCCGAAGAAAGGCAAGGAATATTGAATAAGACAAAGGTCCAAAAGAGCAAAGACCACGTCTGAAATTAATCCTTGATTGTATCAAGGGGTACTTCCAAGTCGAATTCAGGATTAGAGAAGTGGCCAAGCTCTCGTATCGAAAGCACCGTGGCCGCTTATTGTCGCCAGATTTTAGAAGGAGGGCATAGGTCATCATGCCGAGCGTTGCTGTAGGTGTAGGTTCGGTGTCATTTGTGAATTGCCTAGGATCCAATATATTCAGGGGATTGCTCAGCGCTTCTTAGATGGCACGTTAAATAGTGAGATCTTTGACCAGGCGCAATGCACAGAGTGGCGCTGACATTCACAAGGCAACACTTAGTTTGTGTTTGTGTAGTTAATTTGTGCATGCTTGAAAATTATGCACACTTTCACTCACAAAGCGCATGCAATTTGGAAGCTGACGAATGCATGTGCGTAGGCACAGCCAATGCTTAATCGGAGGCCTCTGACCAAGAAGTACGTGAGCGCATGATGCAGCTTCCGGGCATCGGCGAGTGGACCTTGGACAGAGTATGAAATTGAAGAAAGTACAAAAGAAACATAATCTTAAAGACAAAAGGTCTAAAGAAAGAAGCAACATAAGAAAGGTTTTAAGAAAAATAACCCCGGAAGGCAAGTCTAAAGAAGAAAGAAGGTCAGGAAAAAGAGGAAAAAAGGAAGTAAGGTTTGAAAAAGGAAACATGTAGAAAACAAGAACAAAGGAAGAAAAGTAAAAACGGAAGAAAGGTTGAAGAAATAAATTAAACACATGATAAAGGTCTAGAGTCTAGAGAAGAAAAAAACTGTCGTAGCGCGTGAGGCATTTTGTTCTTACAGCAGGAAGGATAGTCCTGGCGTAGCCATTCACGGAAAATTCCGTTTGGTCGTCGCATGAGGGGAAGCACACGATCCCCTGTAAATATTGTGTAAAATGGCCGTTGCAATTTGCTACCCACGTCGTGCGCACGACAAGGGTACCAGAAGGAAGAACAACGGGCATAATGCATACATAAAAAAGCAGAAGAAAGAGGAACGGATAAAGAATAACCAGAAAGACGGATCTAAAGAAAAAACAAAAAGTATATAGCAATAGAAAGGGGAACGTTCTCAGAAAGAAACAGTTGGATTGGACTTGTGCAGGTTAGATTTTAAAGTGTGGGCCGAAACCGTTGGGAAGCCAGCAAAATGTTGCTTCACATACACGTGTCGAAGTTATGTGCTTGTGGGACTTGAACGTATCAAAAACCTGAGACCGTTAAGGCTACGGAGTTGTGAGGCATGCATGTTGCAAAGGCTGTGCGTAAGGCGCTATCTTCATAACCATCGCGAAGAATTGTTCTCCGCGGGTATGAGTATGGTTGCCATGTTGCTCGACGCACATGAGTAAGATGTGTGTAAGTGTTTTTGGGGGGATTCTCCTTCATGCGTAAGCTCACGTTGTGCTCGCGCAAGTAGAGCGAAAGCAAGAACCTAAGAAAGTTATTCGACATAGGGGTTTAATCACACGCATTTGGCAGAGCTCCCTTACTTGTTCCCCCCCGGGAGGAAATGTTCTTGATCTTCCAACTACACCGGCACGGAGGCAAGGCCTCTGCCAGACTGCAGCTAGTTCAAAGGAGCTGCACATGCTGCATACATATGTTTCAGAAAGCTTTATATAGTAACAAGAAGCTACTAGGGGCTCCTGACATCGCTTAATCCAATCAGAAAGCGTGACGAGGGATCCCATTCGGCGACGTGGCCATCCAAAGTGCCATGAAGCTCATTTACAACATTGCTCCGCCTGCAGAGCTCACCACGAAGAACGAGGCATGCTGTGAGGAAGTGTTTACAAGTGTTTACTTATCAGATATTTTTGCATTAATTGCGTTTTATCTGACGAATTCGGGGACAAAAGACATCGAGAGATGTCGCAGGTCTCATGGATGCCAAGCAAAGCGCAAATGGAGCCTTTCGCCATGCGCTGGGGACCCTTTGGTAGCATCGCATCGCTTTACTTGCTGCGGGTTGCAGACAATGTCAATGCCATTTTTCTGCCTCTTGGCACAACAAGAATCCGGGCATTGTCTCCAAGGGTTCGTTTGAACCAGCGAGGAAGATCAAAAGCTAGATTGGTGCCATTGTCCTGAATTTGACTAGTTTTTAACCATTGTTGTTAGGCACTTTTGGCTCAGGCCGGATTGAGCTTTGTGCAGCAAGCGAGTCTGGTGCAACATCGGCTTTGATACTGTAGAGTTGGCTCATTTCGGCAGTGTGGGATTGTACAGTGAGGGCCAGAGCATTGCAACAAGTCTGCCCATGCCGGTACTTATCTCAAGAATCGGCTTTGGCCCTTGCACACATACTGCGCAGAAGGTGGCAGTTGTACAGCATGGTTCAAGCCAAGAAAAGTGTTGTCGAGTTGCACAGGTGACGTGGATCTTGGCATTCAGGATTGCCATTCAGATTGTTTCAAAGTTTGTTTGGGCATGTTTGTTGAACAAGGATGAAGAGCTTCGATGATGACAAGGTGGGCTTTGTATCATTGGCGTGTGTTTACGACATCAATACCGACCCCAATCTGGGTTGACATTGTGATTCATGTTCGCTTCGATCACCAGACTTCGTCGCTTCAGGCACCAAAGGTGATGAACTTAGTGTGAGAATGTCTGAAATCTTCCTACAGCGAAGATTTAAGCACAATTGTCTCCAACCCTCTAGCGGTTGTCTCTAAGCTAATTACTAGATTCTGGACCGGAACTTTGCATATTTGTAGCGCTTCGGATTTGAAAGGCACATGCAGACACTGTTTTTCAGGATGACTTCATGGAGCGCTTCGAGGAGCCTGTTTTTCGCCTCAGGGAGCACAGAGCCACCCGGTCGTGCCCAAACCTTCCCCGTTCGCCAACTGTCAATACAAATAAAATGTTTGATCACATGATCAATACCCCCACATCTGCCAGCAAGTGCAGTCGACACGAAGGTCTTCGCCAACAGTGGTGCTGATTACCTAGTGTTTGATTTTGACTTTAAAAAGAAAGGCTCAATACACCTATGAAGGTAGATAAAACATTATGAAACTGCCAAATGGGGACCTTAAATCAGCCACTGTTTGCTATGCAGAGAGATGAGCTGTCCAATTCACCAAATCCGTTGGAAGGTTTGAAGGAACTTGATGCTTGTAAATCGCAAGATCCCACAAAGTGGCCACATAGTGAGTATCGATAGTATGTTACTAGCAATGCCCTTGCTAGTATCAACAGTAGTACTTGTAGCGATGTGTATATAGATCTCGCATGTCAAAACGTACAGAGACCCTGTGGCGGATTCATCGCAGCAAGAATGGCTCAATCATGGCCTGGGTGACACCTTTGCGGCCCAGCTGGAAGCAAAGTCTGTTTGCTTTGCATCAGAGTTATTTTGCCCGATGTGCGACCAACTGTGCAGAAGCTAATAAAGTAGTGAGTGCTTGATATATAAATCAAAACATCAACAAACCACAATATCACATCTACGCCAAAGCCAGAGACTTTTCCGACCGACATCACTGATGATCCTGCCTTAGGCCGGACACAAGCCTGGCTGGAGACCGATGAGGCAACACGCATGATTGATGGTTTGTGGCACCTTGCCAAATGCATTTCTGTCGGTAATGATTTGTTTTTGAGCTTCAGGTTCAGAGCACACCGCTGCCCGGTGCAGCTCAAGATGAGAAGGTGCAAATGACAGTTTGCTGACAAAGAAACTGCTTGCAGCCTGTTGCTAACAGCACACTTGTAAACGGCATTCCCAGGTGTTGCCAGTAGTTCAAGATTTGCCACATTTGCCCCAAGCTTTTCGAGAGCAACAGGCTTTGGGATGAGTAGCGGTTTCCCCGCTACTTCATGCGCTTCATTGTGCCTTTTATCAGTTTTGGCAGGCAAACCAGAATGAGCAGATCACGCCCCTTGTTCCCACCGCGATGTGATAAATGACGATTTTTTCACATCTAAATCTACGCACTCGCTGCATGTGTTGTCTCATCGCGACGATGCAACTCAGGCAATGGATTGCGAGAGAAGAGGCTCGAGTGGTCGAGGCCTCGAAACTTGGCCCAAACTGCCGCCGGATTGCAAGTGTTTTCGATTCGGGGTTTTGGACAATCCTTTTTCCTTCCGCATAGCTCGCAGCACGTCGAATTCTGTTCAAAATGTTAGCATCAACTCTTTGTTCATTGCAGGCATACAGGCAGCTGGAGCAACTATTGGCTGGCAATAGCTGCGCTGTCTCCGGAAGCATAGCTGAATTCGATGTACTATAACAAGCCACAGATTGTCCGTGCTACTTGATGTGTATTCGCCCACGTGTCATCCGGTTCAGCGGGATCATAGCTATCATGTGCTTCCTCAGGTGGAAATAGTGCCACAAGCGCGGCTCTTCATTCCAGACTTTGCAGCAGTCATTCGGGCTCCAGACTCCAGACCTAGTCTTCATAGTGCGCCATGGTTTCAATGCAAGCACCTTTACAAGCTCCTGATGTGGGCAGAGAGACTATGCTCACAGACATTTGGGGAACACCCGATGTTCTTCGAAACTTGCTGCACTTTGCTCGGCAAGTTAGCACACGTTGTGGAGCTTTCCTGGTTCTTGTTTTCGCATGTCAGAAAATTACCTCAAATGAAGTCATTCGATTTCCCACAGAAAGGCAAGTGTACATGAAGAATGGCTCGGTGGAGATACCAGGACTTCGAGAAAAGCTACCGGCAGGACATGGCCTCGCAGGAAAGACGCCTCTAGAAATCATGTCTGCTTGCTCCCAGAAGCGGATGCCATCAGGTTTCATGAATAGGCAGGGTTCGCCACCAATGATGTACCATTTCGGGGGAGGATTCCGGCGTGTTTGCCAACCGATGTTAATATACTCCTATACTTGGTGTTGCTTCTCAAGTCAGACATTTCTCTATGCAGACATTACTTGCGTGGTGGTTTTAGTTTGCGGCAGGTTCAGTGTCATTGGATCTGGTACTTCTTGGCATGCCACATTGTTGGCTGAATATTTGATTGAGTACATGGCCAGGATACCCGTAGAGGCGCACTATGCTTCTGAATATCGGTATCATGAGCCTGCCCTGCGTTTAGGGGATGTCGTGATCGTGGTGTCAATGTCTGGAGAGACCGTTGATGCAGTTGAAAGCATTCGTCAGATCACAAGACATCCTGAAATGGGCAAAAGTGTCCTGAAAGTCGCTGTGGTCAACAACTCATCTTCCAGCTTGGCATCTGAATGCGACCTGGTGATCAATGTACGAGCAGGTGCAGAGGTGTCTCAGCCGAAACTTGACATGCCCCCCACCGAACTTATCAATTTCCTGCCACCAGCGCTGCCGCCCTTGTTGCTTCAACTCTTCATTTTCACAATGTTTTTGAACATACCACGTACCACGTTGACGTCGTACCACGTTGCTGTACGGGATGACCCGTTGACGTCGTTGAGGTGGGTGTTGCATCCACAAAGGGCTTCTCCGCCACGGGCTTCGTTTTCGAGCTGCTAAGCCTGGCTTTAGCCGACGAGTGTGATACCTGGTCAGCCGACACAGAGAGGTCCAGCTTTGCAGCTTGGAGGGTGAGAGACGGAGAAGGAGACTCCAAACTTGTTACTAGTGACAAGGGCATCGCTACGAGCAACGACGCTACTAGGGGCTCCTGGCTGTACTACTAGGAGCAAAGGACGCTACTAGTAACAAGAAGTAATTATATAAGTTAAATTAGAATTAAACTAAATATTATAATTAAGTTAAATTAGAATTAACTTAAATTAGGCTTAAATTAGGCTTAAATTAGAATTTACTTAAATGAAATTAGAATCAAATTAGATTTGCATTAAATTAAAATAAATTAGAATCAATTTAAATTGAAATTAACTTAAAATATAGTTAAATTCAATTGGAATTAAATTGGAATTAAACTAAATTAGAGTTAAAGTATGTTAATCATAATTAAATTAGAATTTATATAAATAAGTAGAATTAAGTTAAGTTAATATTAAAGTACTTTTAAGTTATAAATACTGTAGATTAAAATAGAATAGAATGAAATAAATTAGAATAGTAGCGATGCCCTTTGCTCCTAGTAGCGTCCTTGCTCCTAGTAGTAAGGCCAGGAGACCCTAGTAGCGTC